GGCGGGGCTTTGAGAACTTCGGGGGAGGGCTTATGGGCCCACAGGGGGCGGGACACGACATTGCTAGGGGGATTCTGATAGGTTCCGCCGGGAAGGCTTGCCGCCGTCAGGCTCCGCCCCCTGTGGAACGCTGTAGGCAAATCAGGTTACAGCAGCAGTCGGCGTTCCAGAGGCCGAAGCCTGTGGCGGTTCTGGGTGCGTCCGCAGGGTGAGTTCCGCGAGCGGGGCACTCTGAGGGACGGTCCCCGCGCTAGGGCTGCTGGGCTGCTGTCCTTGGGGACGGGGTGGGGATGGGGTGGTGGCAACCCAGAGCCGGTGGGAGTCCGAAGCCTGGTCCCAGGCCGATGCCTCCGTTCTTCCTGGGCGTCCCAGAGGCGGTCGCTGCCTTTTTCTGGCTCCGGCTCGGCGGAGGGCCGCCGTGGGGCCGGGGGTTCCCGGCACTACAGAGGGGGTGGGGCCTAACGTCTAAGACATCTTGTTTAGTATTTCTGAAGGAAGAACCCAGGCTCGGGGAAGTGATAGCTGAGGGCCGGGGGTGGTGAACAGTGAGGGCGGCTTGTGGGATCCACGCTCAAGGTTGAGAGCGGTAGAGCTAGCGAGGCTGTAGTGGACCCCGGTGCTTACCTAACGTTTCTTACCTTCCAGAATCCAACGTATAAAGCTGGTGAAAGGAGAGCAGATCCGGTCGGGTCCTGAGACGCTGAGTCCAGAGCGATGTTGCTGAAAACAGGTACCTACGCGGGTGGGGGTGGTTTGGGGAGGACAGGAGACCCGATGGGGATAGGGGCTCCCTGGAAGAAGTTCCAGCCCTCTGGTGTCTGGGCCTCTTTCTTTGATGTGGGTATGTGGGAGACATGTTCCTCTCTCTTACTCTTGGAGCTGGGCCAGCAAGAAGGAGATGCTCCCCACCTAGGAATCAGTTCCCTTCCAAAGAGGCCACTTCCTTTCTCTCCCCTTCTCCCTCAAAGTACAGAGGACCTGCTTTATGTGTTATCGACACCGCAGTAGTTGTTCCGTAGATGGCTAGATGCAGATCCAAACCTGACTAATCTCTTAAGCCCTTCTGAGGCCTTTTGGGGGTCTGTGGTAGAGAGCAAAGGGCCTTGGGTGAGACTCAGGAGACCTGGAGTCTGGCCAAGTTCTGTGTACACTGAGTTGGGGGAGCTAGTCAGGGTGCAGAAAGGATACAACCTCAAGTGTTAGTTTTTTACCGATTCCGGCACTGCTGTGGCAATAGCAGGTGGGGACTCAGGCCTCAAACACATTGCCCTGCCCCAGGCACCGTGAGCCCACTCACTGTAACTGCTGGAGCCGGCAGTTACAATAGGAGCTAATTCTTCTCAAGCCCAGGAGTCTGGTTGTTCCCCTAATGTGAAGTCCAGCGGCCTCTGCAGAGCCCAACAGCATATGGGTGGGGTGGGGCGAGGGCTGGGGCTAGGGGAGCCACTGACAGTCATCCTTCTGACTCCCCTGCAGTGCTCTTGCTGGCCCTGGTGGCCCGGGTGCTGGTGCTAGAGAATGGGCTCCTGCGGAAGCCACCCATGGGCTGGCTGGCCTGGGAACGTTTCCGCTGCAACACTGACTGCGACGAGGACCCGAAGAACTGCATCAGGTGAGCGAGGTCCACACCACCTAACAAGCCTTGCCCAAGACCCCGGGGAGTAGGGGCAGGGAGTGGAGGGCAGGAAAAGAGCGCCCGTGCCAGAGAGGATGCAACCATAGGTGACCTTTGGGACATTGACAGCCTTGTGACCTGCTTGGGGCTTCTGTGGGAGCTGTCAGGCCTGTGGGGCAGGGGCATTGTGGCGGGCCCAGCCCCTGAGATCACTGAAAGGAGATCATTGCTACAGCCAGGCTGGCTCAGTCTTGCAGCCTGGGGCCAAACGGCTCCTTTCTTTCCACCCTGCTTATGGTTCTCATAGCCTGGATTCACACTCAGATCCTCTGAAAAGTCTGAAAAGCTCTGAGGAAAGGGGTGGGGGGTGACTGAGCTGCCCCATCCCCTGCCTCTCACCAGCGAGCGGCTCTTCATGGAGATGGCCGACCACTTGGCACAAGACGGATGGCGGGACCTGGGCTACACATACCTTAACATGGATGACTGCTGGATTGGTGGGCGTGACGCCAAAGGCCGACTGATACCAGATCCCAAGCGCTTCCCCAATGGCATTGCCTTCCTGGCTGACTATGTGAGCCCCACCCCAGCCCTGCCCTTTAGCCTGGGGTCCAGACCAGGGTCTCCATGCATCCCCCCACCCTCTGCTCAGGGCTTATTTCCACAATCCCTCTTGAGAAATCACAGTCTGGTGGGGAAAACAGATAAATGGACAGCTAGTTTCGGCCCACCGTGGTGGGTAAGAGCCAGGAGGGGCATCTTTTCCAGCCTGGGATTTCAGAAAGATTCACCGGAGGAGGCAATTCTTGAGCTGCTATAGAGAGACGACATTCGAGGCAGAGGGGATGACAGAAGCAAGGCCTGGAGGCCAGCAGCTGCCCATGGGAGGTGTGTGTTGGAGTGAGGAGAAGGACCATAGTTGGCAGGAGACAGACCAGCAAACACACTCTTTCCTTTCGATAGTGGGGAGCCGATAATTTTCTAATGAGGACTGGTCAGATGTGCCTGTGAGGTGGCTCCCTGCGGGTCCTGCCTAAGCCCACTTGTGTCCTCAACCCTCCACAGGCTCACTCCCTGGGCCTGAAGCTGGGCATCTACGAGGACATGGGCAACTTCACCTGTATGGGTTACCCAGGCATCACGCTAGACAAGGTGACTCAGGATGCTCAAACCTTTGCCGAGTGGAAGGTGGACATGCTGAAGTTGGATGGCTGCTTTTCGACTCCCGAGGAACGGGCCATGGGTGGGTCCTGGAGCTGGCCAGGGGCCATCAGGTAGACACGGAGGGGTGGCCATGGAAAGCTCACCGGGGCCTACCTGGCCGAGCTTGTCTGTCTGTATGGCCCCCAGGGAGTAGTATTTTCCAATTCCCTGCATCCAGAGGCTGGGAGGATTATTGCCTCCCAGGCTTCCTAAAGATGGGTTGGCACCATCCCCACCCAGGAAGTGTTTGTAGCTCTGGGTACAGGGGGAGGCACCTCCTCTTTTGAGCCTCAGTTCCCTCACATTTGGTGGGAGGTTTGGCCTGAGGCCCCAGATTTCATCCTGTGCCTCCTCAGGCCTAAAATGTAGGGGTGGGGTTTTTCCAGGATACCCCAAGATGGCAGCTGCCCTGAATGCCACAGGCCGCCCCATTGCCTTCTCCTGCAGTTGGCCGGCCTATGAAGGGGGCCTTCCCCCAAAGGTAAGCCATTCCGTGAGCCCACCTGGCAATGCTCCCCACACCCAAGCCTCCTCCCCTCCTGTGCAGTCAGGGTTGCTCTCATCATAGTTGCCGGTGTGCTGATTTGTCAGTCTAGGAGAGGGTTCTGAGTGCCCCAGAGGGGGCCTCTAGGGGGGTCTAGAGAAGAGGAGGCACTTCTCAGGTGGGCCAAAGGGATGGGCGTCCAGGGCATGGAACTACATGTCACGTGCTGACACACATCATCCAGCCAGTGGTCAGAATCCTGGTTGTACTGAGTGGGCTAGGACATCTAGAAGGCTAGTGAGGCCATGCAAGTGGGGCTGAGCCTCTGAAAGGCATTGTGGGCATATCACCAGGGGCCCTTCAGCACCTAGGACACTAGGAAGGGTGGGATCAGACTTGTAGACCTGAGGGAGAATGCTGGCAGACGGCGGGGCTCACTGAGAGAATACAGGGGTGGGTGTGCAGTAGCGAGGGTTGTGGGTACACCAGCCTGGGCCCGTTCCCCGGGCTTGGCCCCAAAGGGCATGAGAGGGCAGGGCAGACTTCCGGCACCAGCACAGGTGGAGATGAGGCCTGGGAAGCCCCAGGGCAGGACCCCGCTTTCTGAGACCTTCCTCATCGTGATCTAGCTCAGGGCCTGTTCTCTTCCCCCTTCTGCACCCTGTGTGTCTCCTGCTGAGGCTCCTCAGCCCCCGTGCAGGCCTCCAGGCAGCAAGGCGTGACTCTGCTGCTGGACTCTGCCTTCCCCCGACATCCAGGTGAACTACAGTCTGCTGGCAGAAATCTGCAACGTCTGGCGCAACTATGATGACATCCAGGACTCCTGGAGTAGCGTGCTGTCCATCCTGGACTGGTTTGTGGACCACCAGGACATACTGCAGCCGGTGGCAGGCCCTGGACACTGGAACGACCCAGACATGGTACCAGCATGGAGGGGGGTGGCCCAAGGCCTGCGGGCCGCGACAGACCTGCTCCCCCACTGCCCTGTGCTGTCTTCCTGGATGCTCACTGCCAGGTTCTAGACCAGTGTCTCTGAAATGTGTCCTTGAACTAGCTGCATCAGACTCACCCTGGGAGCTGGTTTACATGTCTGTTCCCAGGGCCCCACCTCCACTTTTTGGATCAGGATGTTCGAACAGGGCCTGGGAATACCCATTGTTAACAGTCTTCCCTGGCGGTTCTGATGTTTCTTGAAACCTGAGAACTTGGTCTGTAGTGACTCTTGTGGGACACTATTCCTCGGGACAGTGAAGATAATGAAGAGTCCACACACTCCAGTCATTCCTTCCCTAGACTGTCCTTGCCAGGCCTGCTTCTGACCACCTTTCAATGCCCTGTGCCCTCTTCCCCTCCCACAGAGCCTCTGCAGGCAGAGTCGGCCCCTCACACCTACCTCACTCATAGCCCTGACTTCAGTGTTTTTGCACTTTATCTTATGACTTGCTACCTATCTCTTCATTTAGTCAACAAGCATTTACTACCAGTGATTATAATAATTACAGACACCAGGCCAGATAGACACCTGGAGAAACACCAATTAGCCTGCTTTCGAGTTCTGGTTCCTGCTCGGCCACTTATCCTTGGGAAAGTGACTTAATTTTTTCTGTGCTTCAGTTTTGTCAGCTGGAAGATGAGAAAAGTAGCCACCTTATATAGGGTTGTTCTGGGTATTAAAATGGATGACCCTTTAACACGCTTGGCACAGTTTGGCACATGCAGTGCTGTGTTACATGGGTATCACTAAGGATGTAACCATGTTGCTTAGTGGTAATTGTGTCCAGTCTGTGGATTGGTTGCCCTGGGGTCAGGAAGTGTCCCCCTCAGTCTTGCCACCTGTGTTTAGGGCAGGTGGGTGACTTGTGGCAGGAGCAGGGACTCTGTCCAGGTCTGGTACCTACCGCTGCCACCCTGGCTGTATTTTTTGACTTTAGTGTGTCGGTGTATAAATGCTTTTGGCAACAGGACCCCACTGGATCCTCTGGACAACCGATGCCATGGCATATTACCACCCCATAATCTTGGTGAAATAAAAAAGCTGAGGCTCAGAGGGAGAGTGACTTACTTGACGCACCCCAAGGCCACGCTCCTAGGGAATAGTGTTCGCTGAACCAGGCCCCACAGTGTCCTCCCACTCCATCTTCTCTTGCCTGGGCTACATGTCTAGAGTTGGTCCCTGTGCCCACTTTCCTAAAGAGGGCAGAGCTGACCGATCCTCTCCTCTGCCCCCAGCTGCTCATAGGGAACTTTGGCCTCAGCTTTGAGCAAGCCCGGGCCCAGATGGCCCTATGGACGGTGTTGGCAGCCCCCCTCTTCATGTCCACGGACCTGCGTACCATTTCTGCCCAGAATATGGACATTCTGCAGAATCCACTCATGATCAAAATCAACCAGGATCCCTTGGGCATCCAAGGACGCAGGATTCTCAAGGTACTGGAGTTTGGGGGGAGGGAAGGGAAGGCTGAGGGACTAGGCCCCCCGCTGAGAACAAGGTTGCCAGCCTGGAGGTTATGGAAGGCTGGGCCTCAAAATATGCTCAGCTCACCTTCCTGGTTGTATTCAGTCAAGGATTCTACCGGGAGCTGCTCCAACCGTCCCCCCATTTGCCTGGGTGAGAACAAGGCCAGAGCAGGACAGCTCATGGGATCTGGGAAAGGGAGACATTACCACACAAGTGCACACGGGAACAGTGGGGCCCCTAGGTTTGGAAGTATGAGACTTCTGCACATGTCTGTGATGTCTGGCAAATAGCTAGGGCTTCCTTCCAGAGCTTAGGAGTTGTTTGAGCCAAGGGATGCAACTGCTACTAGCACTAGACTAGCATTTACTATTTATTGAGCACCTACTGTGTGCTGGGCATTCTGGGTCCCTTTTCTGAGAAGGTAAATACTTCCCTGCTTAACAAACGAGCGAACTGAGACTTGAAGAGTCTAAATAACCCAAGGCCACACAGTTGGTGAAGGGTGCGACAGAACTTGACTCCAACAGCATAGCCTCCCAGCTTGTGCTCTTTGCACAGATCCTCACCTCTCTAGTTAAAAGAAATCCACACAACTATAGAAGGCACATATAGAACTGGTGATCCCCAGAGGAGGGAACTAATCCTGCTGGAGGAGCTGATGGTGGAACCAGGCCCACGGACCTTCTGAAGGACGGGGCATCACCCCCCGGCCGCTCCGGGCAGAGTTCATCAGTCTTATGGACAGTGTCCTCCACTCCAGTGCCAGCAGCTGCCCATGTCTATCCCTCCCGTTAGCCTATGAACTGTCTGAGACAGGACCTTATGCACTTGTGTCTGTGTTCTGGCGTGGGGCCTGGCACAGATTAAGTGTCGGGGAGCATCTGCTGAGTCAGGGAAGAATAAGTTGGGGGTGCTGGAGGGCTGGGGTATCCTCCAAACTTCTGCATGACATGAAGCCATGGGTTAGGGGGGCCCAAAGCTCAAAGGAGGGCCAGGGAGGGGATTTCAGGGCCTGCCTGAGCAGGGAGCCCAGCCGGTAGCCACCTTCTGTGTCCAGGAGAAATCCCACATTGAAGTGTACGTGAGGCCCCTGGCCGACGAGGCTAGCGCCTTAGTCTTCTTCAGCCGCCGGACGGATATGCCTTATCGCTACCACTCCTCCCTCGCCCGGCTCAACTTTAACAGCTCCAACACCTATGAGGTGAGTATCCTACTACCTGTGGGGCTTCGGGCTTCCCCGGGTGGGTGTCGCTGGGGGTGGTCCTCTGGCAGGAGCGCAAGGGGCAGCTGCAGGCATCGAGGGCTGTGGCTGGTACCCTTCCGGGCTCCCACTTCTGTAGGGCACGCTGGAGACCCACCCCAGACAGGCCAGAGTCCAGGCTTTCACACCCTCTGAGGGGGTCTCTGCAGCCATTCTTCAGTAGTACCGGCGATACCTCTTTCCACTACAGGCCCAGAACGTCTACACGGGTGATGTCATCAGTGGCCTCCACCCTAAAACCAACTTCACGGTGGTCATCAACCCTTCAGGGGTAGTGATGTGGTACCTGTATCCCATCAGGAAGCTGGGGAAGTCCCAGCAATGAGGAACTGAAACATGTGACAGGCTGTGGCGGCATCACTGAGACCAGACCATGGAGCCTCCACATGCCGAGGGCTAGTAAGTGGGGTTCTCTGACACCCAGGCCCGCTCGGTGACCTGGCCCCATGAGACCCAAAGTGCAATCTGAGGGCCAGGTTCCACACCCTGCCCAAGTGTGAACCTTCTTGGAAACTTGTCTTGGGGCGATTTCCTATGGCCTTCCTGGTTTCTACCTTGTCTGCATGGCCCCACAGATGTTACTGAACAACTGAGCCAGCGTCCTGAGCCCCCACAAGCAGGGCCACTGATACCCTCCGATCTTCTTTCTGTTGACTCTGAAATCAGGACTTGGGATTTTTCTTATGATTAGGACTAGAGATCTGACCTCTTGTCAGGAACTCCCACAAATTGTGTGATTGGTTTGCCTGCCTGGATAAGGCCTTGCAGGCTAACACCAGCCAGGTTACCTTGGTTCCCTCTGGTTACCAATAAAGCTGTTCTTTAATTGGGTAGTTGCAATATGGACGTGGGGTCATGGGCACCTTCAGTTAGGGACTCTGGGCAGCAGTGCACAGGGTGCTGGTTTGAAATCTCACCTCACGTGGAAGATGTGTGGCATCTTCTGGCTCCTTATTTTCCAAAGTGACCTGCAGATTATACTTCCTAGACATGCCAGACTTGCCTCTCACCAGGGAGCCATCCTGCTCTGCCCAACTCAAGTGGTGGTGACAACACAGCCAGGCACAGGCCTTTTGTCTCGCGCACCCCTTCCCCACCCCCTTCAGACTCACTCCTCAGCCCTCCTACTGCACACAGACCCTGATCTGCTAAGGATTTTGCATTGTCTTTTGCACCTTTCAGCTCATGTCCCCTTTTCTGCCAGGGCTTCATTCAGTGGCACTCTGGGGTTGGGTGCCAGTGAGGGCCAGCTAGCCTCTCTCCCAGTGGGCTGCTGCAGTTGGTCCTTTGCCTGGCAGCACCCCCAGCCCCTCCATTAATTTCTCTTCTCCTAACCTGGCTTCAGAGGAGGTTCAGACCCACCCCCACCCCCCACCAGTGTCCGAAGACAAGTCTAGGGGCTCTTTGCGTCTTTTTTTTTTTTTTTTAAGTTTTATTTATTTATTTTGAGAGAGAGCACGAGCAGGGGAGAGTCAGAGAGAGAGGGAGAGAGAATCCCAAGCAGGCTCCGTGCTGTCAGCACAGAACCCAATGTGGGACTCAAACTCCACAAGATCATGACATGAACCGAAACTGAGTCGGACGCTTAACCGACTAAGCCACCCAGGCGCCCCTCTCTGTATCTTAAAATACATTTCCTGCTCCTCCTCTTCAGGAAAGTAAAAGAATGGCAGGTTCTTGACTGCCTGCCTTTGTTGCTATTTTCCAAGCCCTGTTCCTTTAGCTAAGGCCACAGGGTACCTGTGGTCCCTGATGGTTCTTGTCCCCATTTGGAAAGCTGGCAGCAGAGCAGGCTAGGTAGGTTTTCCTTGGGCTTGAATGTGGGAGCACACAGCGCCCTGGGTCTGCACTGTCTTGCCCTGTGGAACTCTTCTGGGTAGATCTCCCATACTCCCTCCCTCAGGGTTTGAGATCCTTGCGATGAGAACAAAGACAAGAATAATGTAGTTTAAATGAAATCTCCTTACAGCCTGCAGCCCACTGACAGATACCTGAGACATGCAGTATGTGACATTCCTCAAGGAGTCCATGGCTGCCTTAATGCCTCAATGTTTATATTTCATTAAAAACTAAAAATAATCTTATCTTGACAATAGTCAGATCTTCAGTGTCCTATAAGACCCTGCTTTCAGCATACAGAAATTCCTTAGAAACCTCCCCTGCCTCTACAAACTTAAAGTATATAATCAGTCACCCCTCACACTTGCAGGTGCAGCCCTTTCTGCCCACGGGGGTTCTGTCCCTGTGCTCTAATAAAATCACCTTTTTGCACCAAAATGTCTCAAGAATTCTTTCTTAGCCGTTCGTTCTTGAACCCTACTTCAAATTTCATCACTGGTATTTAGAATATGGTGTAAAGATGGGGCGCCTGGGTGGCGCAGTCGGTTAAGCGTCCGACTTCAGCCAGGTCACGATCTCGCGGTCCGTGGGTTCGAGCCCCGCGTCAGGCTCTGGGCTGATGGCTCGGAGCCTGGAGCCTGTTTCCGATTCTGTGTCTCCCTCTCTCTCTGCCCCTCCCCCGTTCATGCTCTGTCTCTCTCTGTCCCAAAAATAAAATAAAAACGTTGAAAAAAAATTTTAAATAGAATATGGTGTAAAGAACTTACAAGTACATATTTTACAACGTCATTTAAGATTACTGGGGTTTCACTGATGGAGTCTGGAGTCATCAGAGAGCATTCTCTTTCCTGCTGATGCCTCCTTAATGTTTTTTTTTTTCTTTTTTTTTTCAACGTTTATTTATTTTTGGGACAGAGAGAGACAGAGCATGAACGGGAGGGCAGAGAGAGAGGGAGAATCGGAAGCAGGCTCCAGGTCGGTACCAGCCCAGAGCCTGATGCGGGCTCCGACCACGGAGTCCTGCGGAGATCCGACCTGGGAAGCTTGAAGTCGGACACTTAACTGACTGCGCCACCCAGGCGCCCCTCCCCAGTTGATGTCTTAAGGCTGTGGGTTACTTAGAAGGTCAGAAACCTACCACATCCCAGGCCTCTGTCCTTGGAGGCCTGTCACCCCATGCATAGCTCCAGCTTTGGGTCTTGATCATAGTGCTGTTTTAGCCAAATGGAATGGTCTCAGGTGGGTACACTTCTTTGGCCAGGCCCAGGAAAGAAGTCTTTCCCACTACCCTGGGATGTGGCAGGGGATGGTGGTTGAGACCATGGACTTGGGAGTCAGGATTAGGGAGCAGCCTTCCAGACTGAGACACGGTTGCATGTCTTCACTTGTGATATAACTTGTACTTTTATCCTGGGGGTGCCTGATTGATTCTATCCTTTTAGCCTTCATGCTGTCAACATCACACCCTGCCTATCTTCCAGGCATTGTTTTATTCTCTTCTACCCACAGCCAGTTAGGGACTCAATTTTTTCCCAGTTCAAGGCAGTCTTGTTTGGATCCAAGGGCACACCTCTTCTTTTAAGAATTATTTTATTATAAAAATTTTCAAACACAAAAATAAAATGGTGCAGTGAACCTCCATGTACCCATTATTCAGTTCTAACAGCCATCAATATGTGCCGTTATTTCATATCTCTCTTCCCACACATACTTTTTTTCTTGTGAGCTAGAGTATATAAGTATAGAGTATATTAAGGTCACCTTAATATATGACCTTAATACAATTTTCCTGTCCAAAAAGTTAAGTTTTTAATAATCTAACAACCATTCTGTGTTCAGTTTTTGCCAACTGTCTCAAAAATATCTTTCTATAGTTTATTTGAATCAAAATCCAAGCAAGAAGTCAACAAAAATTGGTCCAGTAATAACCACCAAATGTTTGTTCCCTCCATAAAAGCAATGAAAACCTTGCCACGTATTATCAGAATCAACTTTCATAGAACATTGGAAATTAACCAAAAGTCTGCAGCAGCCCAGGGAGTATTCAGTTAAGAAAGACAGTTGAATCTTGGTAAGAACAGAGCAAGCTTTTTAATATCTTTTTTTTTTTAATGTCTTAATTTACCCTAGTATCAGATTTTAAATCAGCTAGTTTAAATATGTTCGAAGAGCTAAAGGAAACCATGTATAAAAAACTAAAGGAGGGGCACCTGGTGGCTCAGTTGGGTGTGTGCCCAGCTCTTTGTTTCAGCTCAGGTCATGATCCCAGGGTTGTGGCATCAAGACCCATGTCAGGCTCAGTGCTGAGCGTGGAGCCTGCTTGAGATTCTCTCTCCCTTCCTCACCCTCTCTCCCCTCCTCATGCTCTCTAAAAAAATAAAACACAAAAACTAAACTAAAGGAAATAAGAATGACGTCTCAGTAAATAGAGAATATCAGTAAAGATACTGAAGTTACAGAAAGGAACCTACAAGTTGAAAAGTCTAGTAACTGAAATAAAAAAAAAAATTAACTAGAGGGGCTCAACAGCAGACATCCCCAGCAGAAAAAAAATCAGCAAACTCCAAGATAGGGCCATTGAAATTAGCCTGTCTGAGGAACAGAAGAAAAGAAAAATGAACAGATGCTCAGAGACCTACGAGACACCGTGCAGCATACCAACATACACAGAAGAGAGAAAGGGCAGAAAGAATATTTGAAAAACACTGGCTAAAAGTTCCCCATATTTGATGACAAAAATTAAGCTACACGTTAAAGAAATTCAATGAATTTACCCTCCAAATAAGATAAACTCAAAGGGATGCATACCTAGACACAGCATAACCAAACTCTCAAAAGACAAAGGCAGAATTTTGAAAGACAGAAGAAAGTCATCACATACTAGGGAAAATACTTGACATGAATGAAAATGAACATAAAATGTACCCAAAACACTAAAATACAACATGCCAAAACTTATGGGGTGAAAGCAGTGATCAGAGGGAAATTTATAGCTATAATTTGCCTACATGGAAGAGAGAAAAGACAACCCCCACAATGGGAGAAGATATCTGCAATTACATATCTGATGAGGGACTTCTATGTAAAGTATATGAAGAACTCTCACAACTCAATAATAAAAAGACAACCCAATTTAAAAATGGGCAAAGGATCTGAACAGACATTTTTCCAAGGAAGATCTGCAAATGGCCAGAGCTCAACATCACTAACCATTAGGGAAATGCAAATAATAAACACAAGACACCACTTCACACCTAGAAAGGTGGATAGAATAAAAAAAGTCATAAGGATGTGGGGAAATTAGAACCCTCATATATGCTCCTGGTAGAAATGTAAAACTGGTACAGCTACTGTGGAAAATAATCTGGCAATCCCTCAAATGATCAAATGCAGTTACTATATCACCCAGAAATTCCACAGCTAGGTATATATCCAAAAGAAATGAAAGCATATGTCACACAAAACCTTGCACACAGATGTTTACAGCAACATTATTCATAGCAGCCAAAAGGTGGAAAGAACCCAAATGTCCACCAACTGGTGAATGAATAAACAAAATATGGTTAACCATACAATGTATTATTATTCAGCCACAAATGGAGTAAAGTACTAACACATGCTACAACATGGATGAACCTTGAAAATTAATTCAAAGGGAAAGAAGCTGGTCACAAAAGGCCACATACTATATGATTCCATTCCTTTGAGGGTCCAGGAAAGGGAAATCTGTAAGACAGAGAGATTAGTGGTTGTTTAGGGCTGGGTGGGGAGAATGGAGGGATAAGGGATAACAACTAAAAAGTACAAGGTTTCTTTTGGAAGTGATTAAAATGTTCTCTCTCTCTCTTCTTTCTTAGATTCAGAAAGAGAGAGCACAAGCTGGGAAGAAGGGCAGAGGGAAGAGAAAAAATCTGAAGCAGGATCTGCGCTCATCATGGAGCTAGACAAGGGCTGATCCCATGACCCTGGGATCATGAGCTGAGCTGAAATCAAGAGTCAGATGTTCAACCGACTGAGCCACCTAGGCACCCCTGAAAATGTTCTTGAATTGACTAGAGCCATCGATGGTTGCACATATCTGTGAATACACTAAAACCCATTGAATTGTATACATTAAATGAATTATAGTATATGAATTATATCTCAATGAGGCTGTTAAAAAAACTCACACCAGGGGTGCCTGGCTGGCTCAGTCAGTAGAGCATGTGACTCTTGATCTCAGGG